CTGTAATTAAAAAAAATACGTATAAATAATACTTCTGTTTTGCGCACATACATTATATTACTTTGCTATCCTAGAAAAAGTAAAATAGTAAGTTGAATATTAGTTTAAACATAATTTATGATATAAATATCACAATTTCTAAAGGGACATTTATCACATTTTAATACAATTATCTTGTAAAATTAGAATTTTCAAAGGAAAAGGCAATTTTCAGTTTTAAATTATTGAACAAAAATTTTCCTTGACTCTGTGAATTTTGCGGAAGTCATAAAAAAGAGGAAATCATAACATTGCATCAATGATAACATTTTTATATGGCTCCCAAATCAAAATGCTTGATGATCCTTCACCTACTTAGCTGTAAGAATATCTCTGCTCTAAAACATAAAAATAAAGAGTGGAGGATTATAAAGCAAAGTTAGCAAAGACAAAAAGTAGGAAAGTTCTTGAGTCCCTTTAAAACATTAATTTCATGTTCCTTATCACCTAGTAATTTTTGTGTTGTTCAATACCTTACTTAATTTATGACTAACATTTTCAGAAATGGAGGTCAATATATTTATTAGTAGTAGTATTTTAGTTTTTCAACTAAACTGACACCAACCTATAACTTTATAAAAATAACAAGTATCTCTAAATAATATAAAAATTTTCAATTGCTTTCAGGTAGGTTAGGGGCTATTTGAGAATGATATTACATGGATGTTCTATCTAAATTTGTAAAATGACTATTTTGATTTGGTAGATCATTCTCTTTTTGGCAGTAATAGCTACATTTTTAAAAACAGAGCTTACAACCATATTGTCAAAGGTTACTGAAAACTTACTGAAGTCACATGAATACTTACAACGATTTAATGTGACTGTATGAAGTATAGGCATTTTAGCTAATTTGTTCTGAAACATCCAGCTACAAAACCCAGCATATTTTTATTTATTTAATCATAATCAAATACTATTATAAAGAGGTATAAAATCAGTATGTTACTTTTATAATCCTTAAAATTAAAATACAGATATTAACATTTAAAGTTATGTTTTGGTAGCACAAAGATACATATGACACTGTTTTATGACTCATCAGGTAGATAAAAAATTGTGAATGTTCTCTCACTGACAAAGCACTGAAGGAACTGCTTTCCTTGTCCCAAACATTTAAACGGGCAGGCTGAAATATCTGTTGAAATTTGAGCAGAAATTTAGTTGAGATCATCTATGAGATATCTCATTAGTTAATTTTTAGCAAGTATTGTCATGTTATCTTTAAAACACAGATTTGGATAAGGATATTTTTTAAAAAATAGAGCCATGCATTTTTAGGAAGGTAGCAAGCAGTGAAAGTATAAATTCAAATGCTAGACTGGGCTACCTCATAAATATATTTACATGTATTAAACACATACACACACATACCACACAACTTTTCTTACCACACATATAATTTATAGTCACAGTAGAAATTTGTTTCATTACAATTTGTCTATATAATCATTTCATTTTTTTTGAAAAAAATCTAAATTTTCTAGAGACATTTCTTCAGAATGTCAAATATATCCCTCATATTCCCCTGATTAAGTGCATTCAGTTTCAAGAAGTAGACTGAGAAATAATTTTTTTTAAATGTTAATTTGTTAATTTTGTTCACAGACTTTTTGGTAGAAAATTATTTGTCTGAAATGCTGAAATATGTTAAAGTGATATAATTAGAAAGTTAAACCATGATTACATCTTACACCAATTATAAGATTAGAATCATCCTTACATTTTATCCTGTGCACATAAAATATTAAGAAAATTTACTTTTAAGGATTTAAAAATCCAAATGTTAAATATAATTATATTTCGTGAATATTTCTTTTCAAAATGAGAAACATTTTTGCGAAACAGTATTGTTGAAAACATTTATATACTGACAAATTGAGGTGTTTCAATGTAATTTTTTTATGAAGAAAAATATATTAATCAACCAAGACTTTCAAAAGAGCTGTTCTTAAATTATTTTAAATTTTAATATCACTGCTGTTTTGCTCAATGTAATGATTGCCTGTATGATTATAACCCACGAAGAGAATAGCACATGAGAGGTTAATTATGGGAACTATCCTATAGACTGTCAATAAAAAGTAATGAAATATATAATTTTATAACATCCACTCTAAAATCACCTTAAGCTTGTATGTTAATTTCTACTACACTGCATACCAGTCTCATACTATATTTATTGCACCTATAACCTTTTCTTTTAACTCTAGGACTCGTTTATCCTTCCAAAAGAACTTGCAAATATGTGCACAGTACTTATATTACTTACATAAGCACATTACCTTGTCCTTCCTTTTTAAATTTTTCCCTTTAATCATTTTTCTTTCTTTTAAATATTCAAAAATTCTGAAATAACACATATTTCAGAAATAGTATGTGAACTTTTCATAAAAGTAAACATCTTCCAAAAAATATGTATCTTTGCAAATTAAAGAATTACACACATCATCTATCTTTATATTAAAGATGCCCTTATGTAGTAAGCGCATTTTCTGGATTTTAGTTTTAACTATTTGAAATAATCTTATATGAAGTACTGTCAGACATATTTGTATTTGTTGTTTTACCAAATACTGATGTAGCCTCCAAATTTTGTTGGTATAACTGACATTTGTCCACATATAAATAAAGGTGTGTTATGATTTAACAGAAGACATTAGTGATTACATATTAATATTTGTAATATGTAGCATTTATCAACTTTAGACAGGAATAATTCTGCTTACAATGAATAATCTTAGAAATTAGAAAATTAAAGAAAATGTAAATGTAAGTTGTTAAATTCCAAGTTTAATAAATATACTTAGTAGCCTAGCCACTGAAAGTTACCCAACTTTTATTTCTGACAAAAGGACATGAAAACCTCTTAGAATTACACTTTTTTCTCTGAAAAGTTAAAAAAGAATCCATATTTATTTGCACATTTAATATTAATCTAATACGGACACAGAGAGGAAAGAGACCCTCTGAAAACAAGTTGAGACAAAAAGAAAAATTAATTCATTTGTATAATATCTCAGAGAGAGTAGTGTTCTATTTCCACTCTATGCATCAGATCAGAGCCAAAAAGCAGGTGTGGAAGCTTGGAGATGGTGGGCAACTGAACACTGATTGGGTGGGGGGTTGGAGGAAAGGAGTGTGGAGAATTATGTGAGATAACCTATTTGCTTACTTCTTAGATATAGGAATACAGCATTTACCTAAAGGAAAATCTCCGGGACTTCCCTGGTGGTGCAGTGGTTAAAAATCCGCCTGCCAATGCAGCGGACACGGATTCAAGCCCTAGTCCGGGAAGATCCCACATGCCGCGGAGCAACTAAGCCCGTGTGCCACAACTACTGAGCCTGCACTCTAGAGGCCGCGAGCCACAACTACTGAAGCCCGTGTGCCTAGAGCCTGTGCTCTGCAACAAGAGAAGCCACCACAATGAGAAGCCCGCGTGCTGCAACGAAGAGTAGCCCCCGCTCGCCGCAACCAGAGAAAGTCTGCATGCAGCAACGAAGACCCAACGCAGACATAAATAAATAATAAATTTATTTTTTAAAAAAGGAAAATCTGTGTTTGCATCCCCACTGAAATGACAAATAGCAAATTTTAACTGTACCTGTGACTTCATTTTCATTGGTGAAGTCTGTTAACACACTGACTTAACATAATATTCTTATTTCTGAAGAAAAACTGGACCTTAAATAGCATACAATTATTTGGTGTAACATGTATCAGCTAAATCAGATATATTCCTGACAGTTAAAATCAGTTTTCCCTTCAGAACTATGATCTACAGTTGCTACAGTTGCTACAATCCACCCAATCTTCTATGAAATGCTTAGGCCCTGTGTTGGGAGCTAGAAATAAAGGATACATATGGCACTGTTTCTGTCTTTAAGGAACTTCCAGATCAGTTATAGAAAACAGATGTGTCAATGTGTCAGTGCATTCAAGTCTTAAAAGTGTGGGTACAGAAATATATAAAGGGTACAAAGGAGACAGAAAGCTTAACTGGAAGAAAAAGGGATAAGAAAATCTTTGAGAGATGATCATGTTTCATTTTTGTACTATCAGTAGCCTATCCTTTACTGTCAGACATTCCCAATGAGGTTGCTCTGTGTTGGAGAGTTCCTGTTCAAACCTAAGTCCATTTTAGTAGTGATGATCTGCTTAAATAATGATATTATTTTTAAAGAATTTTACTTATTCCTAGACTTATAATTGTTATATCAAAGAAACATGAAGTAAGATTAACAGTATAATTATACTAATTTTACCAGCATCAACTTTTCAGAAAAAAAAGTAATGAAGTGGCTGTTTCTCTATTTGCAACCACGAAAGAACCTCTATGGGAATCCCATGGAAAGAGTTAAAAATACCAAATAGGTAGGCTTTAATATTGATACGTTTCTGATTAAAAATAAGCATTAAGAAAAAAAAAATAAGCATTAAGAAAAACACATTTACTCCTTTGCCAAATAAGAACCCCAATTCATTATGGTCTTAAAAAAGAATGACAGTGTCTGTAGGCATCGTATTTCTTCATTATCATGGCAGGAAAATTACTGAACTATTTCATAAAGCGATACTTTAAAATAAATGCAAAACAATTTCCAGTATAATTTAAGATAGCTCAATTAATAGTATGAACTATTTTATTTAGGGCTGCCATGTTATACACTATATATGTACTGCTTTACATTTTCAAAGCAATTCCTATCAGTTGTGGATACCTGCTATTTCATTCATTCAGTCAGCTGACGTCGATCTTCCTTACAACAAGAGACTTCAGTTTTCCTTCAGGAAATAACCCTCTCTCATTCTGAATGCCATGTACTTTAGGTAAGGCTGACCACCTTCCAATACCTCTAGAACTGGACACATGACCTAAGAAGCCTGCATATCACACTTTCCACACTCGTAGTAGGTACTGATTTGGGACTGAGCACATGACACAGGATGGTCCAATA